GCTTGAAATAACAATATCGTTCTTCATTCAGTCAAACTCAACATTATGGCTTCACTGAACTTTGTCATTGAAATGCATGTGTAGTTTGAAATGTGTGTCCAGAGGCGTAGCGACCCTTCCCGGCGCCCGGGGACATACTGTCAATTTGGCGCCCCCCTCGGGAGCAAATTTTCGATTTGCACCCCCCCCTCGAACTTTTCATTTGCACCCCCCCCTCAAACTTTCGATTTGCACCCCCCCCCCCTCGAACTTTTCATTTGCACCCCCCCTCAAACTTTCAATTTGGCGCCCCCCCCCCTAAGGTCGGCGCCCGGGGACATATGTCCCCCCCCCCGCCCCCCCCCCCCCCCCCCCCCTCGCTACGCCTCTGTGTGTGTCTGTTAAAATTGTACAGTTGATACCGAATATATCCAGCCTTTTTCTTCTTCATTCAGCTGCTTTTCTTTCTGGATTTCTTTTCTTATCTTTTGTCAATCCAAGAACAAGTGTTGTATCCCCAAGATAGGTTGCTATCCCCAACTATAGAGCCTCATCTACACGGGAGATTGAACTCAGGACTTCTCGGTTTAGCAACCACGAACTTTACAAGTTCTTGATTTTGGTATTGGCGTGTCAGTTTTCTTCTTTATTTAGTCGACATCTAAAGTTAAACAAAAACAGTTGCCTACCTCAGCAAAAATCAATGTAGGCCAATTATGGCCAGTGTAGCAATTAGCAACATCAAAGTTGATTTGGATTCCATGCAACACTCATTCCATACTTCTCTAGTGTGGAGGTCTTGCTTATTAATATTATCCTGTTTGTTTGATACTTTTCTTTAACTTAATAATATTAACCATAGACACTTTTTGCCTGGAGTACAAACTGGGTCACAGTATTCTCTGGTAAACAATTAAGTTCTTTTCCAAATATATGCTCAGCTAATAGAAACAGCATTCCTAGATTATTATTTTTTTTTTTGTTTTTTTTTTTTTAAAAGGGCTTCAGCTGTTTTAATGTCAACTTGTGCTGGGAATACTATAACTACATACAACCCTTTTCAGCTTTCAATCACTTGCATCTTATGTACAAAGTAAGAAAACCAAATACATCAAATTTTGAGAAATAATTTATTTATGAAACAATTGCATATAATTATAAAGCCAAACATTAATATATCAAGATTATTGCAATTATCACCATTTGCAGATTCTTGTTTAACTATGGTAGATGGAAGTATTAGTTGCCTTTTACATCACTTTTCACTTCCTGAAACAAAACAAAATGATTTTCTTAATCATCCATCTGAAATAATAAAATTAGCAAAAAAAAAAAATCTTTAGTTTAAATTAGTTTAAAACATCAAAACAAAACAAGAAAAAAGTGATTGAATAAGATGAATCATGGCATAGATATCTATAAAATTTTGCTTTAGTGATAAAGGGGGAAAAATTTAAGTTATTTTAAGTGAAACATAAGCTAGAGAAATAAACTATTAGGCCTAATTTAAATAATTTAATTCCTTTCTCCCAAAACACTACATGTATCCTTAAAAAAAGAAAACTTAAAATTTATCAATATTTACCTTGTGTATAAACTCTTCTGTACATCTACTGTATCAGCTTGACGCTCATTAGGTATGCCTAGTTCCTGTTGAGCAGTTAAGACAGATTAAGTAAATAATTCAAATTTGTAAGACAAACCACTAAATGATACTGTTTTATATATATATATATATATATATATATATATATATATATATATATATATATATATATAGGCCTATATATATATATATATATATATATATATATATATATATATATATATATATATATATATATATCCTTCCTGCAAATCAGCATATTTTGCAAAACAAATATTTAAAAAAATACATAATGATATTGTATCAATCATCACCACTGACTTGGTTTTACTAGGTAAAATATTTTTTTAAATACAATATTTATACAAATAAAAATCTATCTCAATCAACATGTTCAAAATAAACCAAAGCAAACTTGTGATAACTTACCTGATTAATGTTTGAGAGGATTCACCCAGTTCTCGCCACTGAAGCAGATTAGATGCATGTGTTATTACACTTGTGATATACTGATTGCCATTTTGTGTACTTTTAGTCCTGGAGATCTATGTTGTAGGCATAGACTGTTAAACCTGGATAGTAATATTATAGAAGTAAATTATATCTAGTATAATATAAATATTTTAAAATATAAATGACACTAAATTATATTTATCATTATTGGAAATAAAAATGGTACAATTAAGTTATAAAAAAACAAATTATAAAATTTAAAGCAGCTTATTAATAATTGTCATACCTTTTCCTACTTTTATGTCAAATGTAAGAGGTAATAGAGAAAGAACATCTTGTGTCATTTAGTATGCTGTAGTCTTTTTACTGGTAAAAATCAGATCTTCCCTTTTTTTTGGATGAACCTGTAAAAGAGAAATTACAACATGGATAAACACAATGAATATCATATCTAATCCTCAACTAGTTATCACCCCAATCCTAACCTCATTTTTTAAAACCAATTTCTAAATATGTTTTCAGAACAAATGTATGTTAAGTCTACCTATTTTAATGTTCAGAATACTAATATTTATCAAAACTACCTCCAGTTGAAATTCAAGATACCTTTATAAAAAGTTATTATGACTTTAACTTTGTGTAGTTGTTATTTAGGCTATTTGTTTAATTTATATTATTTAAATTAATATTTCATGCCTTGTTTTAAAAAGATCTACAAGTCTACTTTTGATTTTATGGTATAATCTGATAAAAATTAGGCTGCTACATCTGAAAACTAAGGTCAATGCAAAGACTTCCAAATTAACGATAAGTAGGCTTGTATAGATATTGTATATAATTACTAGCCCAATAGTATTACTCTACGACCAATGTATAGGACTTAATGTATCAGACCTAATTCCTATAATTAGGCCTACTAATTATTAAATAATTAATAGATCTAACAGTAGGATAATTACAATTATGGGCCTTAGCTGACATAGAGAGCTGAATACTTAACTAAACATTTTTAAAAATTATAGTAAGCTAAGTGAGTTGAATTATTTTATTTAGATAGGCCTAGGCTATAATATACTCTATAGCAGTCTATAGTGATAGTCGCAGAGTAGCGTATATCATAATAATTTCAAATTAAATCTATAAGCAACATTAAGCCTCTGCCTTGTTGCCTAATTAACTAATTAAAAACTAAAGCCTATTAAGCCTTTTCCTAATAAGCCTTTGGCCTAATTTAAATAACAGCCTATAGGCCCTATAATATATAAATAGGCTAAACTACTTGTAAGACCTAATCGACTAATGACTTAGAGAGTGCTAGGCCCCTTTCCGATATTATATAATTATAATAATTGCTTGATCAATATCATAATATCTAACACTGATTACATTAATTTACATAAGGCTATACCATCTTAACTATGACTAATACTTTTTCTACTAATAAAATAGGCTATCTCTAGTTTAAACTTAGGCCTAATAGTAATTAGTAATTATAATTAAGTAGGCCATTTTATGACATTTATAAAATTTTTAGTAGATGGCCGAACCTTAAATTTAAATACTAAAATAGATTTAGCATACTATGCCTATTGTTGGTCTAATTAATAATTTATTTTTCATTTAGAATTTTAGATCTCCAAAAGATAGGCCTAGGTCCTAAATAAATTATTTTTATTTTATTGAGCCCGCCTTAATGTATAAGATGTGATCTGTTTTTTTAATAAAAATAACCCTACACAATACTAGTGATTTAACTAATATCTAGTACTACTTTAGGCCTATTTAATTATTTATTAGTAGGCTGAATAAAATCTAAAGCTATAAGGCCTACTTTATTACTATATTTGCCTATTATTCTATAATTAATTTATGTTTTCTTTCAATACATAGTAGATCCTGTGGTACCTCAACATTCTAGTGCCTCGACATACCAGATTTTTTAAATACGAGCAGTTGAGCGAGTAATATTTCGCTTTGAGTTACGCGCAAAATTTGAGATACCGTATTTCACAGTTCATGTAAAAGAAATACCCCCAAAAAGATGCAAATGATTATTTATCGCAGCTATTTAATTATAATAATAAGCGTCTTACTCATATTTGCAGCATTATGAAAGGGAGAAAGAAATAAACTTCCTAAACAAGTTTTATTTTAAGCTACCAGCACATGAAAGTGACTTAAATTAAGCATGGCAAAAAAGAAGAGAAAAGCTGTCACGAAAATTAAGCTAACGTAATAATTTTATTTAGTATTTAGGCCTTACGTTTAAGTCTTAAGTGCAACAATGCTCAGTGAATTTTAGCCATTAATGGCATTAAGTTTAGGAATGATGTGTACTCTCAGTACTTGTGTAGCTTTAACTTTAGTATATTTTTAATATTTTTTAGACCTAAGCCTAATCTTGTAGATATAGATCTACAAACAATTTGAAAATAGAAGAGATTTAAAATTGAGTAGATCTAGATACTAAATGCTAAAGGACAGCTATGCCACAGAAATAATTATCTTTCTATCTAGTCAATCTAGACTAGTGACTAGATCTAGCTAGTGCTACTGAAAAATTACTAGATTTTCTAGATCTAGATTCTATCATTTACTTTCGACGCACTAGGCATACTTTTAACTTTTTCTCTCTAGTCAATAATGTAGATTTCTAGATCTAAATGTAAATCCTGATCTTGTAGATTTGATTTACGTAGGTTTTACATCAGTGTAAATCGTTGATCAAGTAGATCTAGTCTAGATCTGGACTAGCTCTCGTCAAAACAAAATGGCTGGAATATTAGCTTCAAAACACCTACAGTTTATGCTTTCCTAATTGTGGAGAGCATGTTTAATTATTGTTTTATTTTCAACGACAGTGTTGACTGAGAAACCACCAAAGGGTTTTATTCTCAGCGACACAGTCGGAGAGAGGCTCAACGATTCTGTCGTTGAGATGATCCGCATGGGGTGAACTGAAACTATATTACAAAATCGCATCGCTCTGTGAAACACTAGTTGTAAACATTGTCTGGATTACCGCCCCTGAGCTGGTCTGAAACAAAATGAGAACCGATGAATTATGGGAAATGGAAGTGGTAAGTTTGTTTCGTTTTCGTCTTTTTTTTTTAACTAGCTCTTTTTCATTGTAAAAAAAAGGGCTACCTGGTTCCGTAAATGATGAACGTTAAGGTTCAAGTTGTATTTTGTAAAACTGATTTTAAAACTTGCTTAATTAAAAAATTATGTATGTAGTTAGAATTTTTTTTTTGAAAATGTTAATATTTTGGTATGTGTTTCCTCACTATTGTCAAGTGCCAAATACTTTCACTTTAACTCTTCAACCATGCATACCAAACGAAATAAATCTATTTCGCGATATAATATTGTAGGGTGTTTAAATGTATCGACAAGTATTATAGTAACCCCACCTATCAGGACGAACTGAAATGACCCCCCCCCCCCTACACACACCTGCTGTGACTGACCAGATTGACCCCCGCCTGTTTAGACCCATGATCAGTCTCTCCAATTTTTATAGGCGTCGGTAATAAAAAGAAATCCTTGATGATTTTTTTTGTTTTATATATAAAGGGACGTAACAATGTTTTAAAACCTTGTAACAAGATAACTCAGTGGCGTCCCTTACATTTATCAACCTGACCTAGCCATTTCTAACTAGCTTACGTAGTCTAGTGTAAGAACAGCGAAAAGTTTAATATGAATGCTCAATGTAATAATGTAAAAAAAAATACGGCAAAAGTAGTTTTACGAGTGAGGCGTACCGTGAAAATAAATGTATTTGGTAACCCCTGACCTTACTTAATTAGTTGCTAGAACTGTTTGTTTACATGGGTTTTAGCTGTAGGGTCTGCTATATGTCTATGTAAGGCCATTGAACTGCAATTCTGTAAACATGCGCCGGCTCTGTGGTAAGATTATGTCTATGTGTCACCATTAGGAGTAGAATGCTGCTTGTGTATCACCATTAGGGTAAGTTGGTGTAAGATTTAATTCGTGTGTCACTACTGGGAACACATATTACCATTGGAGTAAAATTCACCACGAGTAAGATTATGCTCGTGTATCACCATTGGTCACCATTTGCGTAAGATTTAATTCGTGTGTCACTACTGGGATAATACATCATCAGTGTGTCACCATTAGAGTAAAATTCAGCTCGAGTAAGACTACACTCGTGTATCAGTATTGGTCACCATAGGTGTAAGATTTAATTCGTGTGTCACTACTGGGATAATACATCATCAGTGTGTCACCATTAGAGTAAAATTCAGCTCGAGTAAGACTACACTCGTGTATCAGTATTGGTCACCATAGGTGTAAGATTTAATTCGTGTGTCACTACTGGGATAATACATCATCAGTGTGTCACCATTAGAGTAAAATTCAGCTCGAGTAAGACTACACTCGTGTATCAGTATTGGTCACCATAGGTGTAAGATTTAATTCGTGTGTCACTACTGGGATAATACATCATCAGTGTGTCACCATTAGAGTAAAATTCAGCTCGAGTAAGACTACACTCGTGTATCAGTATTGGTCACCATAGGTGTAAGATTTAATTCGTGTGTCACTACTGGGATAATACATCATCAGTGTGTCACCATTAGAGTAAAATTCAGCTCGAGTAAGACTACACTCGTGTATCAGTATTGGTCACCATAGGTGTAAGATTTAATTCGTGTGTCACTACTGGGATAATACATCATCAGTGTGTCACCATTAGAGTAAAATTCAGCTCGAGTAAGACTACACTCGTGTATCAGTATTGGTCACCATAGGTGTAAGATTTAATTCGTGTGTCACTACTGGGATAAAACATCATCAGTGTGTCACCATTAGAGTAAAATTCAGCTCGAGTAAGACTACACTCGTGTATCAGTATTGGTCACCATAGGTGTAAGATTTAATTCGTGTGTCACTACTGGGATAATACATCACCAGTGTGTCACCATTAGAGTAAGATTCACCACAGCTTGTGCCGATTTATCACCACTGTGGGTAAGATTTTGCTAGTGTACTAATTCTGGGGTAAAGTTCTGCTCTTTTGGGTAACCTTCTTCCCACGTGTGTAACACGATTGAGTTAACTCAGCTAAAACGAGTATCGCGACAAACTTCATTAAACAAGCTCCCCTCTCCCCCCCCCCCCCCCCATCATCGTGACGACACGTGTGAGTCTTGATATGATACGGTTGTGGAAGCGGTCAAGCAAATGTGATGCTGTGTGGTTTGTGTCTACTTGTTTGTGTGGGTACGAGAGTGATTATGTGTGTGCGGGTCTAAGTGTTCTTTTGTGTAGTGTGTAGTCTTATGTGTGTTCAGCATTAACACACCACCATCGCACATGCCTTCGCTACCATACAGAATTCATCCCCCCCCCCTTCCCTTCCACAATTATATAAAAATCCTTTTAAAAACCTGAAATACATCACTCCTTAAAACCGCTTGGTCATGGAGCGTTAATTAACTTAATTTTTTACATGCTAATTAACTATCCATGACAAGACATTAGTTAAAAACCCAGACTAATCGATGTGACGTCAAGCTTCGCCATTCTTCATTGTTTTATTTTAGAAAAGAAATAGTTAGACAAGTATAATATGTTATATATAAATAAATAAAAAAAAATAATATATACATATATATATATATGTATATATATATATATATATATATATATATATATATATATATATATATATATATATATATATGTATATATATATATATATATATATATATATATATATATATATATATATATATATATATATATATATATATATATATATATAAAGAGCCTAAATTTCAATTGTCCTGTTAACCTAATGCGATATCAGGTACAAGTGTCAAGCTTTCTTTATACTGACAAAGAAAATTACTATTTTATGCTCCAGGTCTAAAATTAATAACTGCTTGTTTAAAATCTGATAGAACTAGATCTAGTTACGGACATGAAGTCGTGTTTAACTCTCCGTACCAGAGCTGAACATATGTTTATCCTATGCTCTCTTCTATAGTCGACATATGATAGCGAGATATTGACCTGTGTCTGTGACCTTAAACAAATTTCGAATCCGTCTGAGTTTAAAATGTATGTCGTTTTTTAGCAAATAGTTTACAACCAAATTTTTTTCCAAGTTGTTGGCGGACGTTGTTTGAAAGGTTTTTAGTTCCTATAGATTTTAGTAAGAATACCTGTTTTTATTTTTCGCGGTTTCTTTCTTTTGTCAGACCCGCCGCCCCCCCCCCCCCCCCTTCCCCCACCCCTTCTCCGCGGCCCACTCCTTTTTACCTGTTGTAAAGATATGCACATTTTTGTCAAGCTATGTACGTTTTTGTAATTATACGAACATGTTGTAAAGATATAAACTCTTTTGTAAAGATATGCACATTTTTTGTCAAGCTATAAACATGTGTGTATAGATATTGTAAAGACAAGAACACGTGTGTAATCTCTTGTAGACTAAACTATTTAGCTTGTATTGTTTACATAACAACCACAACACGTTGATCAGGAGATATAATTACTTTTATAACTTTATGGAACTGGGTGGGGGGGGGGCTAATATCTAAAGTTCTAAACAAAAAAATAGACCAAGGGGTACGAGTTAAAAAAGGTTGCGAAAATCGCCCTACTTTCTAAAGATAGTCGCTCTTCCCAGAGGTGTTATTCCCAGTTGCTACGACCACTATATACTCCATCATTCCATCATTTTTACGCGGCTTGCTGCAAAATAAAAGAAAATTAAAATTAATTTACGGAAACCCTGTTTGCTAAATTGTATATACTCTAAGGTAACAAACTAAACCCTAAGTTAATGATAAGTGATGCATGTTTTGGTCATGAGAATGTTTGGCCTATTGAACTCCACTTAGTTGTATCGACGCCCCTGAGTAGAATGGATATGATTTGTGCACATCTTGCTGGGGCTAAGGTCGTTTACCGATATAGGTGAAATGACGTGGAGAATTTTTAAATCTGGGACACTTAAAAACTAGGACGACATTGTGTTTTGTATGATAAGCATAGGGGTAGTAGTGGATCAATCTTGAGAGGGGTCCCTTGTTACATTGTATCGTTTGTTTGTTTGTTTGTTTGTTTGTTTGTTTGTTTGTTTGTTTGTTTGTTTGTTTGTTTGTTTGTTTGTTTGTTTGTTGGTTTGTTTGTTTGTTTGTTTGTTTGTTTGTTTGTTTGTTTGTTTGTTTGTTTGTTTGTTTGTTTGTTTGTTTGTTTGTTTGTTTGTTTGTTTGTTTGTTTGTTTGTTTGTTTTTAAAAGGGATCGATAGTGGATCAATCTTGGACAGGGCCCTTTGTTGTACTGCACTGTGATACGAGACAGGGGGTGGGGATACTATTGAGTGAGGCCCCTAGTCTGACAAATATTACTGGGGACTGGGACTATTATAGCAGTCTTTATATTTTGTTATAGGTTATAAAGTCATACAATACGGCTGCTGAAAGTAGGGGTCCTCGAACTAATGCCAGGTTAGCCCCGGACTTTAATCCGCCCCCCCCCCCCCCCCCGTATGGTGGAATTTCAATTATTTAATTTCCACCAATAACTGACTGATTAACAAGATAATTATTGAAAAGTACAGTTTGATTTAAGCTGCCCCACATATGAGTTGTTTAATATCCAATACAAACGTTATTCACATAGTTAAGTAAGTCCTTCAGATAAGCCGACCAGTCAAAAACATTGCAGGACATTTAACCTCAAATGCCGGTCAATATTACAAAAAGACAACCATTATTTGGATTTTTTTGGCACTGCTATATAGATCTATACAACATTTAAGGTGATGCTATTTTATTTAAAAGTTTTAGGTGAAATATTTGTTGTTTTTCAATTTAGCTGATTCTAATGGAGTCGTGTTGTCGAAACAGATATGTTCTAATTTCACGACTATCTAAACTAATATGCAAATAATTTTTGCTCTAATTACAATTAATATTGTAAAAAAAAATATAGGGACGTAATTAATTGTTTCACCGGTTATTCTAACTTCCATCCAGGTAAAAATTATCATGACTATTAAATGAATACTTCACCGGTTGTTCTAACTACCAG